GGTCATTGGAAGTGTTATGACGGGTGTGACTGCAGGTTTAGATACGCAACGTTATATCGATCGCGATCTGTGACAGTGACCCGTGACACGTAAACTTGTAAGGATGACCTAGTGCCCTGCCTCGCTGTCTGTCTCCAGCCAGTTGAGTCAAGAACAAAAGTCACAGCCTCTGAGTTATGAATCATTATATTTCAAACATACTTTGTTTATATACCAATCAAGCATACTACATCGTACCATAAAATGGAAAACAACATTTTGTACAATATTCAACAAGTGAACAGATATCGACCAATAGGCAATGTCCATTTAAAGTCCAAGGACACCATTGGACTTAACATGATAATTATTCGTTTATTCTTCTGCATCCACAACACCTCCCCTTTTTTTTGAAGATCCGGAGTTGATATCCAGATTTTGAAATTTTCTGGTTCATCCTCCCCCACGAAATAATGTTGGGTCCTCATATCCCCAAGTTAAAATTAATTTGACTTTATTTAACACATAATTGTCAGATTTAACAGAGAAGTCACTGAAAGTGATTAAATAGTGGGGATCAATGTCGCTTGATATGAGGTCATCAACGTTTGATTCTTCTGGAACATTATCATGGGATTTGTTGAAAATCTCATTTGTAAACAGTTGACCACTGAGACAATCAACATCTATCAAAATTGCATTAGATTTCTGATCATCATTTGATGCATCTAACACATTTTCTGGTACAAGAGGATCTAGATAATAAGATTCTGACGAATCTCCTGTTGTTGAATGATGAGGACCATTTGAAACAGCTGGATTCAGTGTACTGCACGATTTGTTCCCTGTTCCGTTGTGGGCGGGTACTGCAATTAATTTATGAGCATTTAATGAGAGATCTTCCTGTGAGCTGGATACATCACTGTCTGTACCCGTTTCAGGAACAGTGGGATTTGAACCCACGACAGGGAATGTTTCAAAATTTGACATTTCTGGACAACTGGGCGGATCATGAATGACTTTCTCGTTTACATCATTGGTCGTCCGGGATTCACAGAGGCTTTTATAGGCAGCTTCATATGTTCTGCAGTTGTTTTCCAGATCAGTCTGCAGATTAGAAATGAACTTATCAACTTCTGTTGCATTTCCGAAACATGGAAAATTTACCAACAGTGTGCGTAAATTTCCTAAAAAATTCAACTGGCTATTTTTGAAACACTGCTGTTGTTGCTCAAGTAGAAGCTGTAATTGACCGGAAAACGTAGTCATTTTTTTCTTTTCTGCACCAGGAATGAAAATTAACTGTAGGGATAATGACAAATGTTGCTCAAGGACGCTGATGATAATCTGGACTCTGATTGGTCGAAACAATTAGCCTGAATCTCGTCCAATTACAAGGTTCAAAATTTTCCTCCACCCCGTCGCCAATTGTTATGACGGGTGTGACTGCAGGTTTAGATACGCAACGTTATATCGATCGCGATCTGTGACAGTGACCCGTGACACGTAAACTTGTAAGGATGACCTAGTGCCCTGCCTCGCTGTCTGTCTCCAGCCAGTTGAGTCAAGAACAAAAGTCACAGCCTCTGAGTTATGAATCATTATATTTCAAACATACTTTGTTTATATACCAATCAAGCATACTACATCGTACCATAAAATGGAAAACAACATTTTGTACAATATTCAACAAGTGAACAGATATCGACCAATAGGCAATGTCCATTTAAAGTCCAAGGACACCATTGGACTTAACATGATAATTATTCGTTTATTCTTCTGCATCCACAACAGGAAGCATTGATCGCTGGAATCCAAACTCTCCAGAAAACTTTGTTTTTGATTATAGGAGAGTTTTAATGGTAGTTTTAACATACTGTTTTGATACAGTTTGATATAAATTTTTATTATCAGAATGGGTTTTGTGGAGATTTTTAGAAATTTCACTTGTTGAAATCATGAGTCAATTGAAGCTAGACCACCATGGAAAACCTGGAAGCACTGAACGGCCGCTTCGTCCTAGTATGGGACTCCTCAGCAATTTTCATGTCGATGTGAAAGTATACCTACCAAATAAAAATTCTACGGAATGAATAACACGTGAATCATTTCCTAACGATAAATTAACCGGATAACTTGTTTAACTTCCGATTTCGAATTAGAAACTAGGCATTTTAAAACCAGCTCCATCAAAGTAGAGGTTAAGAAAGCAATTTTCAAATTTTATACTTAACCAGTAACCTTTTGAGTCATGATATGAGTATGTGGTGGTTAGAATGCTTCATATTTCAACAACTTATGGTATAGCTCAATTGACATCAGGTTTTTAAAAATATTTATCCCTATTATTGCTCTAGTGGCCAATACAAACAGCTAAACTACCCTTCTATGATTTCTAGTAAGGTACCTTGATTTCAACCAAATTTATAATGGAAACAAATACTTTCTGGTAGCTGTAAATGATAGTCACCATATAGCACAAATTCAGTGAGCCTTTAAACATCAGTCACTCGGTTTCAACACAGATGCTCAGTAATAGTTTGTTTACAGGAGCCTCGTTAATTTAAATTTAAAAATAGTTCATAAATAACAGTCAATTAACCATACTCAGTTTTATATTAACAAATGTCTTTATTAATTGAGATTTAGAAAGTGATGTGAACCACTTATGTATTTTATCTACGTAATCATATGGATTATGAGTCTGAATCATAAACAAACTTATGGTCATTTATCTGTCCTTTTGGTGTTTTGAGCTTTGAAAACGTGGATTTAACAGTCAAGTAGTTTTATTGTCGACTACTTTCAAACATGGTGCTAAACAGAATGGTCATTTACTGTTAAAAGCTAAATCTGAACGACTTCTTATAATCCACGTTACATGCATAAAATTATCGGAATAAATACACTTCGAATACACAGATACATAAAAAAACATGCAATGAAAAAATGTTATCAAATTAAACATGTTGATTTTAATGAAAAACACATTATTACAAAACCAATTAATATTTTATTATCCATCTGTGAATTACTCTAATTAAGTATAATTATTGATTAATGTATTTGTATGAGAGAAAGAACAAGGACATTATTGACATGTCTTGTTTTCTAATGTGCTCTCACTAGACAAAAGACACTTGAACAATAGTTTACAACAGGAATAAATCAATATATTAATAAAAGCCTATGTTATTTATACAATTCTATAAATAGTGTTATTATTACATCTTAATTATTAATCTGTTGTTCAGCATTACACAGAAACTTGAGAATGTGTGAACTTGAATTCATACCTGTGATTCCAATGAACTCGATGATGAGTAGCGATTTCGAAGCAATATGATTGATACGTATTCTAGGATTAATACTTATAAGCATTCCCAGAGGACTATAGAACAGAGTTAAACAATTGTGGTTATCAGACTGAGGTAAGCCATGTTGAATGGTGCAGACTTCCTATTTGGTTCGACCTCACTAATCCTTTATCGATGGTACTACTAATGTTTCGATCTGCTTTACGATTGGAATTAATTTCTCTCACCTTGGGCTTTAATAATCCCTTCAAATGCAATGGCAGTGCGGGTTATAGCAAGCTGGACCGATACACACTTGTTACCGCTCTTACACTACGACTCATTCTGTACGCTGATAAAACCGTTCTTAATGACATCACGAGCTGATTTCGAAAAACGTATCAAGCTAGCCAATGGCTTTTACGAACCAAGAACCATCTTATTTGTGTATTTTATTTTAATCAGCTGAGGATCAAATTATCTCAGCGCTGGTTAACTCAACGAGAAAAAGTATAGCACAATAAAGGCTTCTCAAACTGGTCCTTAAATCTAAGGCTTTCAGAACAAATACTGAGGGAAGATATTGTAATCGGGTTTGTGACTGGCATGGAGAAAAGTTTATTTGTATATTACTAGGCTATTATCCGTATTTACTGAACTGATCATAATGTAACGAGAAAGTAGTTAAAGCAGGTTTGAGCCCCGCTCAGCCTTCAGTTTTGACAATCGGTTAGCGTGACGAGCCATCACACAAGAGCCGTGCCCTAAAGTCCACTACTTAGACCTGAATTCAACGACTTACATTACAAAAGTTTAAGTTAATTAGACCCTACTCCAAAAATTAACGTTCTCTGATATTTTGGTTTGTACTGTCGTATCCTAGAGAAGTAGGTATGGAACACCAAATAAATATTTATACGGTGATAAAAGGTGAAACCTTAGAAGTCACGCTTACCAAACATTATGTATATTTTGAACGCCCACATTTCGATTTCAGAGATCTGTACCAAGTACAAATTTGTGTATTTAGCTTTGAGGATTAGTGATACTATTTGAATGCTCAAACAGAAGTGAGTGAGACGGTTTCACATATGAAGCAACTGTTCTTCATAAATTTTAAGGGAGCTATTTAGCCTCCTAAATCAACAGCTATTTCGAAATTGATCGTTTTACTTAATATAGCTGAAATAATATAAACTACTGAAACGTATATTTTCTTAATGCAAAAAATCTCACTTTTTAAGTAGAACATCGGTTAAATATGCTTTCTCGATAAATTTCAAATGGATTAAGAAGAGGAAATGGAAAATAACTTTGTTTGCTACCATGCTTACAATACAGATATTTAACGCTGATCATGAAAGAGTATATTTTCAATTTGTTTAGTTATATAAACATTGCATATTATAAAACCCAGTATAATTAAGACATGCAATTCTTCAAAAAAATACAATTTAGCATTCATTTCAACAAAACATAATTTATGAATTTTCGGAGTGTCTATACAAAAGGGGGTTAAAGGAAATTCGACAACTAACAATACACTGGTTTATTATGAAGATATCTGATCATATTGAAGAAGTTTTAGGAAAATGACCCAGCTTTTGTTTACATTTATTTCCTATTTATTTAAACCGGCAAAAGTATGTGTTGTCTCAAATAATGCAAAAGAGGAAAATATTGTAAAATTTAATCCACAAATCAATGGAAATCGACTCATTCCATCTAAGGAGAACTGCGGAGTTTTTGTGAGCTCCGAAGTAAAGACTCCAAAGCCCGTCGACGTAAAACCTCTTCAACTGATTCATGGGGGTCAATCCTCTACACAAAAAAATAAAAAAATTAACTTTCACAAAATAGAATATAGATGGTTACTACAAAACAAGTGTTATCCTTATTCAGGTCTCAGATAATCTCCAAACTAGTAAATGGATCATGAATTGACACTTATACAGATAAACCTATCTTTTGTAAGTATCAGAAAGTAGACAGCTGACAAGTTTCCCTATGTTTACCTCGAAGATAGGAATATGAAGAATGCTTAAGTTGGTTGTATTTTTATCAATGCTTAAAGTGGTCTAAAATACGAATTTTAGCGTAAGTAAGGAGCTTAAAGGGTTACGAAGAGCCTTGAAAACTTCCTTAAAACAAATCAGAGTGCCAGACCACTAGGTTCGTCGTTAAAAGGTGTGCTAAAGTATACAAAATTTGTAAAAGCCCTTTATACGGGTAATATTGATCGAATCAACGTTCACGTTCAACTATTGTTGGAATCGTCAACTTTAGGTGATCTTCGTTACGGGAGTCCATTATTTCCGTTTTTGTCATAGATATCATCCTAAGAATCACACTCTTCTGTAAACTCATTCACCTACCTGGAGTACGTAGAAGACATACCCTTGTTTAGTGAAGACACTAAGACTGCAGTCTTTTAAATGGCTTTAGAAACAATTTAAGCTCGTACGAGATACATTCCTCCCCTCCTCAATTCAAAGCGTTGCTCTATAACCGGTTTGTGTCAACCTGAACTAATGATAGAGAGTAAAGTAGTTAGGTGCGCCAACCAATCCACATATCTTGGTCTCATTGACTCTGGTGGTTTTGTGCATGATGAAATCTCTATATGGATTCAGAAAACTCGTGTGACTTTTGCTATTTGAGGTTACTTGCGATGTGAGGATGTCCGCTCTGTATTGCTGTGAAACATGGTCTGTGAAAATGGGAGACGTACATTACCTATAAGATGTCTCAAAGCAATGATTGCATACAGTAGAACCGAGTGACTAATGCTGAGGTTAGGAGTATTTTATTGGCCCAGTCGATATATGAAGCAGTGAATCTTCACTGACAGATTTAGCTGACACGCGTTACGTCTACTCCAACATGTAGTCTTGGTTGGAAGGAAGCTAAGATCAGGTAAGGAGAGCGATCGCATGCATTCCTTTCCTACAAATACTAGATTATGAGTTTCAATATTATGGAAAATTTTACTCCGTGAACCAATTCTTTCTTCGTGAGTCATTTTCTTTGCTTAGTCTTCTACAATCACTGATAATATTATTATTACATTCAGCTGTCCATATTTTTATTTTTATCTAATTATCCTAATTTGATGTGGGCACTTGTGTTGACGCAAACTTCTTGAAAGCGCTACGTTATGACTGAGTGGACAAAGAATGTCAACGACATTCCAAATCTATACAACTTGTCCGACTGGTAAAGTGTAAGAAAGCAGAAAGCATGAAATTCGATGAATATTAAAGCCTCCTGGCAGCTGATATAAAATAAATTCATTTTATTCTGCGAGTCTTGTTATTCTTACTTTGACTAACTTTTTGCAATGACGCTGGGGCAAAAGGCCTAAACTAAATATACGTAACAGACACCAATTGCATATACGTACTAGATCAATTTGTCCTGAAAGGATAGTCAGTAGGGCTATAATTCAAGCAATGGATTACAAGAACGTCTGTATTAAACAACTAGGATGAACAATTAACCTATGATTTAATAACAGTTAGATGACTCTATAGTTTTAAAAGAAGTCCTAGAACTATGTCAACATGAACAAGTAGAGATCCGAATTTCCATAAATATTTCAGGTTCCCAGGATTACTGTAAGAACAGGTCAAGCTTCTACAGATGTCACAAGTTCTGATTATAAATACTAGGACTTAGAGAAAACGTAAAGCATAACAACCACGTACAATTCTTTCATGTGATCCCACTCACTCATGAGAGTATTCAACAGTGACTTAATGCTTAATTGTTTCTTCACAATGCCAGACACCAAAAAAGCAGGATTCAGATCACTATCGGAGATAAACTGATACAATAATAAAACCCTCGATGAACCAGTAAAGGATCAATATGAAAGTGTTTTTATTCAATTTTTAACCAAACTACATTAATGATAGGAGAGTTTTCGCACTACACAACGTGCATGTGCTACAAAAGTGTAGATGTTATCAACATTCTGAAACGGAAGATTTTGAAAATACATATCAGCCTTCAAGTAAACCCGTTATGAAACAAATTTTTGAAAAATAAGGAATAGTAATAATGATAACAGAAAATGCAACAACTATGCAGGAGGAGCATATACCTTATGTGAATTAGAGCTAGAGGTAGGAGGTAAAGCAGGACCTTCAGGAGACATATGATTTCCAAGACTTTTAGGGTGTTTACCGTTTCTTTCAGATTTATGAGGTTTCGTGTTGGCTTCATTATCACTTTCACTGCTACTGCTACTACCGGTACCACTACTACTACTGCTGCCACTGTCACTATCACTTGAACTTGATCCCGATTCCTCACTGTGTTCGTCACCAGTAGAAGATCCTGAAGTTGTCGAACTTGGGGATGTAGATCCAGAATGGGCTGGGTTTTCCGACCACTCTACGGCGAGTTCAACATCCGGAGGAAGAGCAGGACCTTCAGGTTGAGATACCTCCAGCTCTGGAGGGAGAGCAGGACCTTCATGGGTGGGTTCTTTCTTTGGGATTTTAATTTGTGGCCTTCTAGATTCTTCTCCATTTCCTTCGCTTTCGCTTTCATTGCTACTGGAGCTTCCACTACTACTACTACTACTACTACCACTACTACTAGAGCTGCTGCTGCTGGTTGATGAGCTGCTTGACGAAGCAGATGCCTCACGTTTTGTACGCTTACTGGGGACTCCTGGAAGCAAACAACAAAGTTGGGGAAGTTAGATTGCAACTTTAATTTAAGAAAATTAAACAACTTTAAAATTATTAAACTATGATACCACATTGATCCGTAAGTCCTGTTACTTGAATCCTTTCAAACTTTAAAGATAGTCATTAGTAAGCATTCAATTAATATTTAACTAAAAATTACGTGGAGAATTGTACTTCCGAAGTAATTTTTCGTCACAAACTGACAACAAATGAAGAACCAATGCATCTTCAATGCAGTGAAATCCATATCTGATATATTGGTAGTGTGTGTTTATCTGATTAATGGTTAGTTTTCGCATTCGGAACGATGGATCTATATAATATTATGGATAAAATGAGCTTCCCATCTTTCAAACAAGTGTCACATTCTGATAATGAAAATTCAGAATGGACGATCAACCTATTTGACTCTACTCCCAGTCATAGGAAATTCAACAAACTCAGGAGGAAATTCTATTACCCTGAAGGTAAATCGTTTGCAACTAATATTATGTAAAATAGTGCACTTTATCGAATACTGATAAACAGCTCATTCCCTGGATTGTACAACACTTACTTTTGAGTTAGTACCATAATTATGTAAGTCAGTCAGTTAGCTACAACGTAGAACCAGGAGCATATATACATCGGTTGAAGTGAGGTTAGACTAAGGGTATTAAGAAATGATGGTAAATCAGTTGATGAAGTTGTGAATCTTCATCGAATGAGATGGTTTGGCCATGTGTTATGCATGCCTGAACACCGATTGCTACGACGCGCATTTCTGACTAGTGTTAGAGATGGTTGAATGAAAGTTGCTTAAAGTCACTAACTTCTGATCTGAGCCATATTGGTAGATGCAGATTACTTGGTCGGGGTTCGCGTGACTCGTAACCAATGGTTAGAGACTCTTGGTGACATGGCTCAGAATCGCTCACAATGGCATAGGTGAATACAGTCTTTGTCTTCTCTCAAACAGTGAGATTAGAATAGCTTTATACCTTTTTTTCTATGAAATAATTCTTTCTCCCTGTATCATATCCATATGCACAATCCTTCTTTTATATATCACTACTATTGAAGCAACTACTTCTGTGAATTTGGTGTTCATCTTGTTGTGCTAATGCGGTATGGCAACTTGAACCGATGCATATATGCGCCTGGTCCTACTTTGTAGTTGACTGACTGATATTAGTCAAAATAATCCCCCTATAGTTATCACAGGATGATTTAGACCCTTTCTTATATATTGGGACAACCAGTGATTGCGACCAGTCAGATGGGATTACATTTAGTTACCAGATTTTAGCTAAAATATTAGTCAACCTAATCGTTAAAACTGGACCACCATACTTGAAGACCTCTGGAGCCAACCCATCACAACTTGCAGGCACGCTGTAATATTAACGGTCATATTACTATTTGTCACGGTAAATGTGCCCTTGGAACGCTGAAATCACCTTACGAAGTTAACTGAATTATCTACAGCAGGTTTTTATTATCAGTAAACTTCACTACAAACAACTTTATGTGCAACTGAGACAAAACTTAGACAATATTGAAAACGAATGAGCAAAATGTATTATATTCACCATAACATTGACAAAAAGAACTAGCTGACCTTCGATTATCCTAGAATCTGAAGGTCTTTTGGAAATATTTGGGGGCAATGACGGCCCTTCAGGACTCGGTAGACGGTGATACTGGCGTCTTTCAAAGGATAAATTTTCGTGTCCAGATGAGGTTTCTCTTCTTTTTATGTGACTAGAGTGGTGACTATGTCGGTGATCATGATCTCTGAGATGCCAATCAGATTCTCTATCGCGCGCGCGGCTTGGTTCTGGGCTTGCGTTGCGACCGTGTGATTCAGCATCATGTCTGTATCTACTAGACGAACGATAATCATAATGAGAAGGTAGGTCAGGACCTTCATATTTTCTGTAGTTTTCAGCAAAACCATCTTTTCTTGATTGTTCTAAACAACCTGATCTTTGATCTCTCTCGTTAACTTCGACTATGTTATGGTGTCGGGATCCAGAATTATGAGTATGCTTGCGAGGTCGATAATAGTCTGCGTTGTGAGACGGAGACCTTTTGTGAGATTTGTGTGAATGACTGTTACCATGTCTTTGTTTATCGTGTTTTTTGGAATGCTTATGGCCTTTTGAACGTTTTTCGTTTCCATAATAACTACTTTCAGGCATTTCCGGTGGACTGCGACGTCTACCGGCCATCAAGTCTTTTCTCCAGTCAGTGACAGGTGATTTCCTATTTAAAAGAAAAAAGTATTATCAGTGATGTACCAGATAAATTTCTAGGTGGGAATGCAAAACTTGCTGGACGTGTTAACAAGACTAAAAAGATATAATAAATTTTGACATAATTTTAACATAAAGTGAATTTAAGAAATATACTCATTAAATTGGCATTTAGTATCACTTACGGCTTTTGCACCAGCTTGGAGCGAGATTTGGAACGCTGACGACGATGACGAGTGCGTGAATGTGATCTATGGCGTCTTGTGTCGACCGGACATCTCTCAGGAGAGTGGTGATGATGACGACGGCGACGGTGTTGTTCAGGGGAACGCGACGAACTCGTTTCATCTCGATGAGCAGTTCGACTAGTTGCTCCATCCTGAAATTCCAGTCATCAAAAGACATTAAGCTTGTTTGTAGATGAAACTATTAATCATTAAAAGTTGCATCATAACGTGAAGTGCCGGCAAACGTTATCAGACTTAATAATAGTGTGTTGGAACAATTGCAAGCAGCTATAAGTCGACATAACATAAAGTGGTATAACGTGAAAGGTTGCAATACCACCTGAATATGAAAATAATGGTACCTACAAATCTAGTTGAGATTAAAAAACAAATGGAAAAGCTATAATTTAAAAATAAAACACTTACGAGTTTCTCACGACTTTCTGTAGTAGTTGCAGGTGGTTGAGGGGCTGGTGATGCTGTTCGTGAAGTAGAACGGTTGCGATTGGTAAAAGCTGGCAAAATAAATACGATGATTCTGATGAGTATACTTTAATCTTTATAGCATCAACTAAGGATGGTAGGAAAATAATTGAAAGTCACATGTGTTTTTAGGATGAAAAGAGCATTACCCGTGGCTAGACAGCTAAATCCGACTTAAAGCCTCCACGTGGTGGTCAGGTAGTGAGGGAAACTTTACTAGTTGGTTTGGGCGATCGATGAGATCGGACCAATCCACTACTCTTTTGTAAGCCGAATAAACTGGATTTCACTTTTTGGGATTAAATTCTCGCATGCTGCTCGATGTGTATGCTTATGTACATAAACTGCATGAGCTTCAACTTGTTTGGTTTATGTATATATGCGGGAAAACGTAAGCTGAAAAAATGTCTGCCATATGTTTAATAAAATCACTGGCATAATCCTTCGAATTGAAAACATGAAAAATATGGCAGCAAATACTGAGAGATGACCATCAACTTTTACTGAAGGAGGGCATATATCTATTTGTGCTATGAAGTGCGAGGGCCAAAACCTTTGTACTAGTGATATGCATGTAATGCGTGACAGCCAACTGTATATATATGACTGTACAGGTTGAAAATAAATTCGTCGTAAAGGGATCTTTTCGCTAAAGTTCGTGTTTTAATGTTTGAATGGGGATTGTCATTTGAAGATGGAGATGTTTGATTTATAAGACTGGTGAGTCTTTTTGTCATCTAGATGTCGTGTTGGCAATTTTAGGTCGAAAATACTAAGAATATAATTAGTTGTTTCTGAAATTAATGTTGCAATGTAACAAGATATACTACCGGTCAGTGTGTGGTGTCAAGTTTTAAATGAACTTAAATTTCTAGCTGTTTCACTAATTTAAATTAAGACCATTAACTCCAAAGCACGACGAATAGGTTTATAAACCATCAATAAAGTTTGGTAGACCAGCTCATTTGACGAAGTCGGATAGATTCTCTGATATAAACCAATCGGCTCTGAGATAAATCCGTAAACTGATGACCAGATAAAATCGTATAAAGTATTGAGATAGATATCGTAATATCTGGATTATTGAAAAAACGTAAAGAAAGGCCTAACTATTGGAAAGAAGAATTTAACTGTTATGATTACATTACGCAGTTGTTAAGATCCAAATGATTACCATATGGAGAGAAATCATGACAATTTTGATCATTTTCATTAACATTTTTCACACCTATGCTTCCTTACCAAAGCTCCGAATAAATATATATTCGTATACAAAATCAACACCTTAACTAACGATATGAAGTGAAGTAATTGAGTGCACCAACCAATTCATTGGTCAAAGATGTTGCTTGATGTGACTCAATCAGTTACAATGTAGATGCATTTATCCTTTATTTTACCCTACGAATTAAGTTCCAGTATTTCCCTATGTATTGTCCCTTTGAGCATTATCAACGCTTAGTCATTCTCATTGTCTGCCACTACAATACCTTGATTCCTTCGCTATTTATCTTGTAAATTTAATTACACCGTACCAACGTAACATGCCAACTTGGGCCAACGCACATTCGAGTCGAGCTCTAAATTAATCCCAACTGATGACTGACGAATTGCTGACAATAGAACCACTCAAGTCTTTTCTGAAACTTGAAAGGATAGAACCAAGTAGTGAACCTTAAAGTTTACATGTTCATGTATCTGTTTCTAGAAACACTTTTGTAGGTTAGATTTAGCTCCTCAAGCAGCGTAGATGCCCCAGTCAGTCAGCTACAACGTAGGACCAGGCACATATGTGCATCGGTCCAGGTTGCCATACCGCATCAGCACAACAAGATGAACACCGGATTCGTAGCAGTGGTTAGGTCAAAGGTAGTAATATATAAGAGAAAGATTACATATAGAGATATAGTACAAGAAGAAAGAGTTGGTTCGTAGAAAGAAAGATATGAAGCGATTTTAATCTCTTAGTTTAAGGGAAGACAGGGAGTGTATACACCGACGCCATTGTGATCGATTCTGAGCCATGTCACCAAGAGTCTCCAACCATTGGTTACGATAGTCACGCGGACCCCAACCAAGTAGTCTGCATCTACCAACATGGCTCAGACTAGAAGTTAGTGACTTCAAGCACTGATGCCATGTTTTGGTTTGGCCGCCCCTAACTTTCTTCAGACTATCTCCAACACCGATTAGCATTGAACGTCGTGGTAATCGGTGTTCAGGCATACGTAACACGTGGCCCAACCATCTCAGTCGATGAAGATTCATAACCTCATCAACTGATTTACCATCATTCCCTAATACCCTGCGTCTAACCTCACTATTACTTACCCGGTGATCCCAGCAGACGCCAGCAATATTTCTAAGGCATCTGTGGTCAAATACTAATAGCTTACGAGCGTCTTCTACTCTTAATGGCCACGTTTCGCTGCCGTAAATTAAAACAGAACGGACTGCCGCGCAGTATACCCGTCCTTTTATTGATAGATGGATATCTCGCCTTCGCCATAGGTGACGTAAGTTGGCAAAAGCTAATCGAGCTTTTCGAATCCGTGCTGAGATTTCGTCCGATACCAACCCATTAGGGCTGATCAGACTTCCGAGATAAGTGAAGTTGTCAACGCGTTCGATTACTTCACTCCCTATCCTTAGTTCAGGTGTTAACGCAGACCAGTCCTGAAGCAACAACTTGCATTTAGAGGGAGAGAAGCGCATTCCAAACATCCTGGCATTATTGCTCAGTGCTACCAGAAGACTCTGCATTTTGTCAGCGTCTTCACCAAACAGGACTATGTCATCTGGGGTACGCCTTTCAATGACAGACACTGCCACAGAATCTCACGGTCTACCGAGTCAAATGCTGCTTTTAAGTCGAGAAAGACCACCATTGTCGGACGTCGATAAGTATGCCTGTGTTCTAGAATCTGACGAATGGTGAATATGTGATCGATGCAGCCACGACCAGGTCTAAAGCCAGCTTGGTTCTCTCGTGTTTGCAGTTCACGAGTCTTAGTTAGGCGTCTGATAATTATCGTGGCTAGTATTTTAGATATTATATTAGTTAAACTAATCCCTCTGTGGTTGTCACAGGATGATTTTGACCCTTTCTTATATATTGGGACGATAAGTGATTGTGACCAGTTAGATGGAATAACGTCTAACTCCCAGATTTTAGCTAAAATATTAGTCAACCTAATCGCTAAAATTGGCCCACCATCCTTAAAGACCTCTGGAGCCAATCCATCTGGACCAGCTGCCCTTCCTCGTTTCGGATTAACTATAGCCTTCTCAACTTCAGCAAGGGTTGGGGGACCTACTTCAATGTTCCATTCACACTGTCTGGGAATGGAGGGTAGTTGTAGAGTAGCTGGAGGCCAGCTGAACTGTTCTCTGAAATGTTCCGCCCATCGTTCTAAACGCCTGGACTGGGAGCAGATGAGTGTATCGTCTTTTTCCGATATAATCTCACTTACACTTGACTTATTAATTCCAGTTTCTTTTATTAGTCTGTAAAGCTGTCTTGTGTTCCCTATAGTCGCCGCCTTTTCCATCTCTTTTGCTTTCGTTGCCCACCACTTCTTACGGTCGTTTCTTAGACTTTTTCTTAACCTAGATCTGATTTGTTGTCGCTCTTCCTCATGTTCGGAACCTGATGGGACGAGTTTGCGAGAATCCATCAGTGTGATAGACTTTGAAGAAATCCACTGGCTCTTTGTAACTCTGTGGTTTAAGTCACTAATAGATTTCATCGCTGTTTCCACAGCTGTTTGTATATCTTTCCAAGCAACATCTGGGTCAGCCTCGTCTTCAGAACTACCTAATCGTGACCTCAGTTGTTCCTGGAACCTACTTTTGGTTTCCTCGCTACTCAGTTTGGTTCGAACGGGTCTTTTTACTGTGGCTTTTTTGCGTCCAGTGAGGCGCAAGCAGATGCGTGCCCGTATTAGGGCGTGGTCGGAGTCCAAGCAGGTACTCCAGAATGAGCGACAATCTTGTACCGACCCTCTCCAACGATGACTGATGGCAATATGGTCTATTTGAGTCCATCGTTGGCTTGGTGCAGGCGGTCGCCACGTTAGACGATGTCTCTCCTTATGCTTAAAATTTGTGGTTGCTAAAAATAAGCGATTGTCTGAGCACAGTTGCAGCAGACGGTCACCATTTTCTGTTCGCTGTGCCGGAATGCTAAAATATCCACCTAAATGCCTTTCTGTTTGGTTTAAGCTACCTATCTGAGCATTAAAGTCACCCCCTACGAGTACTATGTCTGAGCGTTTAGCTTTCTGAAGAAGTTCAGAAAGCTTTCTGTAAAATTCATCTTTCACTTCATCTGAGCTGCAGTCAGTGGGAGCGTAGGCAGAAACGACGAAAAGGCAACGACGTGTGTCCCTATCCTTCCGAGTTCTTACGTAGCCGTTCAGCCGAACAGCACATAGACGACTGTTGACGGGGATCCACTCTAGCAGTGCTTGTTCCGCCCTCATGCTTAGTGCTATGCCTACTCCTGCCAGTCCACGAGAACTGGCCATCGGGTCACCAGATACACGTAGGGTGTATCTCGTTGGCTCTCCGTTTTGCTGAGGTGAGGTCAAGTGAATGACCACACTGGAATCCTGTATGCGTGTTTCGGAGACACAGCATACATCAATGGAAAGAGACTCTAGGGTTTTAGCCAAGGAAGCCTGCTGACCGATTTGACATAGAGTGCGTACGTTGAAAGCTCCAATGTGTAGTTTGGAGCGAGGTTTCAGTAGACTGGGGACAGTGTTTTGAGCACTAGAATCGTTGGCTATGGTGACACTAGAGGAGGAAGCCGAAAGAGGAAATTTAGAGTTGAAAGTCAATGTAGGAGGAATAATAGGAGTTGAAGAGGAAGGTTGATTATGAATACAGTGGTCTTGGGTGCTGTTAGAGGTATGAGGGCGGTTATCACTTCCCGGTTGCCCACACCGTGGAAGGGTTGTTCTGGAGGTACCTGAAAAGAAAATTGGATTAGAGGCGGTCTCAGTGACCTGAGAGCGTGACCGCAGTGCCCAAGGGACAACTGCTTGAGGCCGGTCGCGCACGGCCTTTTCGTGGGAGGTTTTTGACGTGTTAGCTCCGTTCTTCAAAGGGCCTTACCGCCGGAGACGGAAATCCGTGAGGTAAGGTGAGGTGCGCATTTTTAGGGTCGACCTTTTCTAACCCCACCCCTCCTTGTGGGAAGGCAGCATCGCTGTCATGCTGGTTGTCTGAAGGAAACACCTTACTGCTGTCACACCTCTGTACAGTCAGCAGTACGACTTCGCCTTCGGACCTTGGGTTTGTTGCTTTTAGTCTTACCGCTCTTCAACCGACCTGTCTGACATGGTAGGACCTTGAGGAACGGTTGTTCCAGCCAGTATAGCTCGGTTGCTTCATCACGATAGGCAAGCCCGACCACCACGTCAAGGTAGCAACAACGGTCGGGGTAGATGCCCCAAGGTCATAGAAATTGTAACCTGTTGTTTGCAAACTGGAAGCTTTAAATATGAGATGTGATTGGCAGTCGATAATGTAAATCTTTAGATTATAACATTTTTCTGTCTCATCACATATGGATACTAAAAGTTTCAGATGGACAACTACCATAAAAGTGCATACTTTCCGGCTCTTCAGATTCTGCTACTCCATTGCTTTTGACAGACGAAACGCGCTTCTGATTATCTATTTGTTCGGAACTCATGTTAGACGTTCGATTAGTTCCTTTCTGAATTAGCTCATTTTCCCTCTTTCTCATTTCGAGAACAAATTTTTCGTCCTCCTGAAAAAAAAAGACGAAACAGCATTTATCAATTACTCAACTGTAAGATGACCAATGAAACAATAAGATCAAATATTGACATCTATTTTTTCTGACGTTAACATAAACCAGATAACTCATAGTGTAATTTGTGAGCTTTTAGGTTCAAAACCGATTGCATCGGTTTTGTAATAAATAGATAGTAGATATGTTCATAAGCAAATATGATAAGGCAGATAGCGGCTTTTCGTAATTCTCCAAAATGCCAAAGTTTTATTTACATCAAAGCTGGTGCTGTCAAAAAAGACATGCACGATCCACTAGTTAGGAATCATAACAGGAAATATCGATTGCTGTTTCTGATTTGAGAAGTGGAATGTTCCCAAAAAAACGATTATCTTACGGTAACTAAGATGACATGTTTTTAAGATATCAGTTTTATTCTTGAAGCCTGAGCAACTCATTTACCGGGCACAAATTTGTGTACATGGCTATGGGCCGCAGAGTTGAAGCGGGGTTAAGATCTGCTACTTAGTTGCCAAAAGTCGAACACCTTCACTGAGACATACCTGGAATTTGATGGAATCCAGAATAGTAAACTCCCAAATAAATCATTGTGATAGGAGTGATGGTAGGACAATACGAGGATAGTGTCAACTGTGCACTGTAATTGGTTAGGAAATTAATTTTACTAAATGAACAGATAGAATTCAAACGGTTATTATCGACACACACAACCTAGATTAATATGCAATTAGAGCCTTAATACAGTCTTCAGTAATAAGGATAGTAGGTTGGTGAGCCTGTGTTAATTCTGATGGGCGCCGTTTTCACCGAGTTAGATAGTTCCACACTTTCGACCAATAATAGTAATACCTAAGTAAAATGACCGAATTTATATTTAGAGTACATTTTGATGGTCAATGAAATAGTAGTTTAGCACATAATCAAGTACAGACTTTGTCAAGTTTTTAACCGAAAGATTACCTGACGCTTTGCGATCTCTTCTTTCTTGGCCTCCAGAAAAGCTGCAGGAACGCCATCCGGTGTCTGCATGGCAGATAACAATAAATCCCATAGTTCGGACAAAAACACCCTCGCATTTTTGCTGTTTAAAAATCCCGTTATATTAATCTGGATTTCCTTTGGGTCTGGATGCTAGAAGGAACAGAAAATAACACATAAGTTGGGGAAGCGAATACCCAATTAACTGACAATGAGAATTAATTATTAAATTAATAGATTTTCAGACAAGCTCAAATGTGTACCGGCAGCGCACTCAGTGCGTCGCAGGAGACCTGAGTTCCACCATTGTTTGTCGATGTGCATCCCAAAAGACCTGAAAATTTAATCGAAACCAACTTTAAAATTGGAAAAAATGGTCATTATTATAAGTTAATTTAAAAATGGAATAATACAGTATTAACTGGTTTATATGTCGTAAGTCAATAAACCCCAACTACGTTAAAATCTATTCATAGCACTATTTTTCAGCTGACATGCTAAAATACTTGTGGTGGGTGACTAAAATATGTAAAAACCTAATTTCAGATGTTAGGAAAAGTGAAGTTACTACAAAATGCTAAGCGCCAGTAACAAGAATAGCTGCTTTCAAATCAGATTTTCTGCGGAGGTATAAGCATCTAAACGACTGGACAGCCACGAATTTAATTTTGGGTGTAGAATAAAAACAGCAATTGGAAACGATGAACATAAAATTCCATGGCGAAGGCGAGATATCCGTTTACCAATTAAGGGACAAGCATACTGCGCGGCAGTTCGTTCTGTTCTACTTTACGGCTGCGAAACATGGCCACTAAGAGTTGAAGATACTCGTAAGCTACTAGTATTTGATCAGAGATGCCTTAAAAATATTACTGGCATCTGCTAGGATCACCGGGTCAGTAATAGTGAGGTTAGAAGCAGGGTATTAGGAAATGATGGTAAATCAGTTGATGAAGTTGTGAATCTTCATCGAATGAGATGGTTTGGCCATGTGTTATGCATGCCTAAACACCGATTACTACGACGCGCATTTTTGACTAGTGTTAGAGATGGTTGAATGAAAGTTGGGGGGGGGGCGGCCAAACCAAAACATGGCACCAAGTCACTAACTTCTGATCTGAGCCATATTGGTAGATGCAGATTACTTGGTCGGGGTTCGCGTGACTCGTAACCAATGGTTAGAGACTCTTGGTGACATGGCTCAGAATCTATCAAAATGGTGAGATTAAAATCGCCTCATAACTTCCTACGAACTAATTCTTTCTTCCTGTACTGTATCCTTATATGCAATCTTTCTTTTATATATTACCACCACTGACTTGACTACTCCTATGAATCCGGTGTTCATCCTGCTGTGCGGTATGGCAACTTGGACCGATGCATATATATATATATATATATATATATATATATATATATATATATATATATATGCCTGGTCCTACGTTGTAGCTGACTGACTGATGGCATACATCGGTATAAATGTAATACTCAGCATCGTAAACCCCGAACAAGCTGTATCCACATAGGAAATCAAAATACCGAAAACTGATTGGGAAATAACACGATAACGTACAAACAATGTACAAAGTATGCAAAGTTCTTGATCCTTTTTACTTAATGCAAATTTCCCTTAGTTTCGACGTACAGCAAATCACTAATATGTTAGCTTCCACACATGCGTGCTCTTACTACTTAGAAAGGTGTCAGTATTGAAAGCTTACCGATCTGCTAATGCCTTAAGAACAGAATGAGGCATGACAAATAACAGTTCAGTTCAATGTTTCCAGTTTAAATAACTGATTATCTGCCCTCGTTCAGAATGCACATACAAGAAGCACTAATCGTATCAGTGCGCTGATTCGGTATGGTAAACTAGGTCGATGCACATCTGTTCCGTTCTTACGTTTATGAAGGAACAATACACACCATGACTATTAGTGCATGTTTGACCTTCAACGGGTAACAAAGCTAACTAATTTCATAAAAAGACGTACCCCAGAATTACGACGTGTCTAGTAAACAGTAAAATACCTGGCCGCTTTTTTGCAACTTGTTTGTAGGTGGCTTTTACACACGAAATTCGAAATGAGTAACACTGGTGAAAGCAAACTCCCGGTAAGTAGGTGTTTAATGAGTAAAGTAGCCTACACATTCGGCTTTTGGACAAAAAACCTGGACTAAAAGTAGTTGTCTAAGAGAAACTCAGGCCTTTCACTAAAGAACTGCGCAGGTGATAGGTCGATCAAGACGAACACTACATTGATTATTTAAGTAACTATTTCTAATGACCCAGAGTCATCTGACAAAATTATTCAGCGAACGGAGGCAAACCATGATAATAGTTAAACCCTGATCTAGTCTTAACCACAACTAAAGTTGCTTCTATGATGTATTCAGTGTTAACAACGAAAAAAGTAAGCAAACTTACGCGCTCCTCCAGTTGGTTGAAAATGTAGTCACAGACGACCTCATCCTCAAAGTTTAAAAGCTCTGTTATACGTTTAACAATCCATGGTCTTATAGACTCCAAATTAATTTTGGACATGTCAACCTGGAAATAAATGACAAATAGAGCTCATGCCTTTTGAGCCAAGTTTTCTCCGAATTTCATAGTTTTCATTAACTTTTTCTTTTTATCAGCGAACCTGGCATCTTGCTCAGCACTTGTACCCTAAACACCGATAGAAACAATTAGGAAGCTAATAAGGAAAACCTTGAAGAAGCCAGCGTCTGTCATAATCCCGGTGTGATTAGAAAAATAGTGTTACGTCCCGTCCGGCGGATTAAACAAAACCCGTTCAATCGCCAATGTTATACGAAAAGATTGAATTATTTTCACTATATTTTCTTATCACAGTGATGGTTCGACCGGGATTAAAAATGTCTTCGAAAATACTTAGCTCCAAAAAACTCTTCAGCGTTTGTTATTATGTACGCTCTATTTAGAAAGAATGATATTTTTTGTCGTTGGGTTAAATTTACTGTCTTGATTGTAAATTACGCATCAAAAATACTGTTTACACTTTAAGTGAATTTCTTTCAGTTAAGTTGATTTCTCACTTGTGTGTATTAACTTTTCTTTTGTGTATTTATTTCATCAAAGCATGCTTAGGCGAATTTGAATTGATTCATTTTGGCTTAGGTTTGAGATTTATTCAAATCCATTTCTGTGTTTCCATTTTCGCTTGATTTTTAAGATGATCGGCTCTGCTCACAAACGTGGAGAGCTATATTGCTTATTCCTTCCGAAGAAAGGAATACAATGTGATGAGAGTAATGAGTGGTTCCATATGATGTGTACCCTCTCAAACTTCACTGCCTATAAAAGGTGCTTAAATCCTGACTCCTATTGGCCTTGTTCGTTTTGTCGTTCGGGCAAGACATTACTCATCCAATGAACAATTAGTCCTCTAGCGTTGGCTAAAAAAAGGTTAGTGAGGGTTGTACTGGTAACGTGTTTACTGATAGTGAAGAATAAGTCAGTGTCATAAGTTCTGTTACGGTATGTGCCAGGCACCCGGCTGTACAACATGCAATAGGGACTTTTATCTCGAAACAATTAATGCGTGAAACACCACTGGATACTGGTGGTCAAGTGCCTACAGAAGTGACTGATGACTCGGACAAAACTGTTGTCTTCCCGACTGGTCCTGATTTGGATGGTGCGACTGGTGGAAAATGGATGGTGTGGAAACAAAGAAAGGAGTAAAAGATAGCCAAATAGCGCCCTTTTAGTCTCAAAGTTGTTGACGGACTCACATTCTGCATTGCAGATTACTCTGCCCAAGTTCAAAAGTAAGAAAATATTTAACCTTATCGTAGATGGAAAATGTTTGTCCTCATCAAACATCGTTGCGAGTCATCCGCTCGAATCCCACTGCTCTGTCACAAGAAAAACCAATGGTAAGCTCCTAGCAGTTAACAGGCAGGATATGACATCACTATTTAAGGCTGCGAACACGACTTTCAAAAGGGTTAAGTCCGTTCCTACCCTGATTATTTGAAATCTATAGGAGTTGGAGGACAATAACCCTGCTTAAATGCATGCACGCGATCTGAAGTTAGTGAAACCTGCCATCAGAAATATAGTGCCTGAAGAGGTTTCAGGAGTACATATCACGAAAGTAATAGGACTCGGTTGATCTGTCGCAGATGAGACCCGACCAACCGGGAATTTTGAAGGAAGAGACGTAATATTGAACAAGGCATACTAAACTCGTAATCCAAATATTCGTATCCGATCAGATTGGCCGCTTGAGGATCGAATCAAGTAGAAGAATGCCCTTACGGAGTCAACAACTGGAAGGCCAAATGGCAAAATGAACCTTACAGTTAGGGGTTGTCATGTTGTCAGGTGTTGTTAGTCAATGTTTTCGAGCTCTGTATGGGTAGAACGAATGATTCTTAAAACAACTTAAATATGTGCTATGTGAACGCCCTTAGTCTTCAAATAAAACGTTCGAGCTAAGTTTGATGGTGGATGAATGAGGTTGCGACACAATTGTTGTCACGTGCGTGCAAGAGAATAATGCATGAATATTCCTGCATCCACCACCGTTGACCTTCTCTCTGTGTCAAATTTTTAATATCTATTTTCCCAGTTATCTCATGGTCATTTTTGAGGATTTTGTTGTTAGGACCAATACCCCTACATGGTTACAGTAAGTCACGACTTGAGAACAACTGCGTATTGCGACGCAGCAGATGCCAAAGTGTTTCATGCATCATCATCATTTAGCTAAGCACACAAATGCATTCATCAGGTGTTTTTACTACTATATACCGCCTATGCAAGACCACACTTAGAGTGTTGAATCCAAGCAGATGGCTCATGTGTGATCAAGGACGCTAACTCACCTGAGCGTGTCCAGCGTGTGAGAACGAAATTAGTGAAGTCTTCCTGAAATCCCTTATGATGGGCGCTTAAAACGCCTTCAACTTTTTCCCTTGTCGTATCGTAGGAAGCGAGGTGACCTTATATTGACATTTCGACTGGCTTCGGAATTTTTCTCAGCACTTCATCATTTTTGAACTGTGGTTTGACTGTGTTTTGGGTCTTTCGATGTGAAGTACAAGAGTGCTATTAAACAGTTAGGTCGCGATAAGCATAATGAATGGTAACTTTTTGGATCCATTTATAGACCGATAATATGCGTATATTTTTATCGTATATTTGTTAAATAACTAAATTGTCCATATTCATGTCCTGCTTAATATGAGCTTTATTTTGACCTACGAACTATTATTCTACGATCTACAATTCTTGAATTATGCTCTATTTATTAATTACTAGTTCCCTCATTCGCAGCCACATTTGTCTAATTCTGGTACAAATGGTCCGTTTGGTTGGTATATAAACCAAGTATGCTTGAAATAGATTATTCATATTGCAGAGGCTGAGATTGGTGTTCTGGACGTAACTAGCTCGGCTAGGCGGAGAGCAGGACCAATCAGGACTCTAGGCTGCTCGTACGGGTTCTACGCGTCATCGGTCAGATCGATAATTCACTGCTCTGTGATTGGCGGTATCGTTACGTTATACATTAACAGGCCACAAGTTATAAAACAAACCCTGAATGTCCGCGTCATATTTAGTGGCAGCAAAGTTATGTCAACGTTTTATCATAATCTTTTAGCTGATAATTAAATCACATATGTGTAAAACATTATTTTCATTTTTGCCTACATTTTCCTTTGACTTCCTTCCATATACATTGTCTGTTGATTTGTGAGTAGGCCTGACAAGGAAAACTCGTATGTGATTCTCGTTTATCAAGAGATTATGAAACTGTGATGAAAAAAGATCTGAGAAGAATGTTTTCTATAATGATGACTTATTGTCAACCGTTCGGCAGAATTCATGATTACTAGTTCCATGTTTAGTTTTAGTTACATGCATACGAACATGGATACGTACCTGTTAACCGTTGGCCTTCCCACAAAAATTCTGTTACTTTTATATTACTGGACTACAACCAGCATTCATCTCTGTTGTACCTGAACCCTCGGAGTTGCGTATGGAGTCAACTTGCTCTCCCTAGGTTATCCGGAATTGTAATCATCATATGTAACGATAAATTTGCTCATTGTGCCTCTCCAAGTGACATGGAAGTGAGTCATCCAGGAAAGTATTTTTTGTAGGAACTTCGAACAGATTTTTGATTCGTTGTTTAGACCAATGCCTACATGTTTTATTGAAATATGGAACTATTTTTTATATTCCTGTATATGTGCATATTTTTCCTCAGAAAATATCTGAGACTATTTTTGTGCGGAAATTTTATTCATGTAGCACGTTATATACATCAAGTTTCTTTCCTACCTTTTGTTCGCCTACGTATGTTCGATTTTATTTTGACGGGCAACCACAGTTTCATTTCTTTCTTGCCCAGAACGACTGAAAAAATTTAAAAAGAACTCATGACGAATACATTACATTGAACTTTTCATTGAAAGTTTTCTATCATAAAAATGTATCACATGGCACTTGAGATTAGACCAGACTCTACTGGACAATAAATGCTATCAGAATATTATTTAAGAACAGCAAGCTCATTCGGTTCCAATCCATCGTACGATAGCTGATCAACTTAAATTCTATAGACAACGTCAAATCAATCCATAGTTTAAATATATCTTCTATAACATCATACTGGACTACTGATTGCTTTGGCTTTGGGACCATTCAGGAAGATCAGACATAAACAAAAAGTCTTTCAGACTCTGAGTTCTTGTTAACCACTCTAATAACATTTTCAATTAAATTTCACTAGTCCTTAGACTGATGATTCATCATGCTGAATAACTTCCGTGTCAGACGGCAGAACACTGATTGTTGAGCAGTTTATCAAACATTGTCAAGGTGTAGAATGACGACGACCAATGAGTTCCACACCATGGACTTAGGCATGAGACAGTGGTTGCAGTGTGATTTTATCCAGTCTTACTAATGATTTTCTTCACCAATTTCAAGTTCATGCTGTACATTTCTCAGAGAAAACAGTACGTATGCATCACGAAAAGATATTCTCAATCATCCGAATAGATCAACAGGAGAACTGTTCTTAAAATCCTCTGGTAGTGTTTTTTATTTTTGCGGACTTTTTGTTTTCTTAATCTCCTCATTTGTCACGTATCTTGTTTTTTACCCGGGACCCGTGTAACCGTGGCTGCGTATTTATAAATAATTTTGTCCTGGCATTTATCACGAAACTTTAGCCAACATCTGTCCTCCTCATTCAATTTTGTTGTTGATTGCTGCAAACTACTGATTGACTGTAATGTTGTGTTTGACAAAAGTCGAGGTTACTATGCGGAGCCGTTGATCAGTGTTGCTCTATGACCGCCTGATAGAAACGGTTATTAGAATCTTTTCACACCCCATTTTGTAGGGAATACTTTTAATGATTCTGATGTTCTGAGTTATTAACTATCAACCATTCTTCTTCATGTTTAGTATGTCATCTTATGCCTGAGAAATGTCTGTATGTGCAGCAAAAGCTAGACCATCTGAGATATTTAGTGCTATTGGCATGGTTTGTCTTGCTGCTTGATCGAAATCAAATTGATAGAACGGTGTTTGTGACGTGTGACTCAAAACACCTTCACTAATTACGAAGAATGTGGTCCGCTTTAATTGAGTAAACCTTAGTTTTCTGGTTATTTTTATTTAGGTTGGACGTTAGAATTTTGGTCGTTGCACAAACATCTAGACTGAGAAATGAATACGGTAGAAGC